CTGGCCCAGGCCGCAATAAATGCGAAACCACCCAATGGTGCTACCTTAGAATACTTTCTGTCTTCAAGATATGCAACTGTGTAACATCTGCAACAGCAAATACACACATATATACATAATTATTAATTATTATAACAAATATAAGATACAAATGTATATTCACTGTTATGGGCACAAGCATGCACACTAAGCAAGTCGATTTAAAGGATTGTATGCATCAGTACTGAGAAGTTTCATGCATCATCATTTTCATTTATCCCAGTGCCGCAAAGGCTCCCACCTACGGTGACTGAGAAGTTTCATGCAAACATGACAAATGATAGGACACGGAAAATAAACATTTCATATTATTCAAACAATCCCTATTATTGACCAAATCCACATGGACTTAGTTTTGGTTATATATGTTAAGTCATTCTGCAACAGCCATATATAAAAATACATACATACAAGATATTAGATTATTCCTCTTGTATTAATAGTCTCTTAGGATGGAACTTTTTTATGACTTAATATGATATATATCAGAGTCAATTAAACTTAAACGAGCGATCGATCTAACTGAGACTCGATTTGCCCAAAGAAGAATGAGCACACGAGCCACCAGCCACACCAGCCACAAATTTAGATACAAACAAACATAAAATACATTATCCTGTTATTACACTGATCATTTAGGATGGAACCCCAACACTTAATAAGATAAACACACTAATATTTAGGCTGATCTCTCCATAATTTCCTGTTGTGGGTTCTCTTGTTAAGACCCCAACAATAAACAAATAAGTAGTAAAGCGAAAAGAACAAGCTGGGTTCCAAAGAAGAAAAATACTATGAATTTGGTTTTTTCATCATTAGACACTTAAAATGGTTACAGGGAAAATGATCTTAATGGCACATCTTCATCTAAATTTAGTTTGCTATAGAATGGGAAGAGAAACGGTGAAAACAAGAAAGATGTCAAGACTCAAAGTGAAAACTACTATAGTATTCCCGCCTACACACATGGATGAAAAAAAACATTACTAAGATGATTGAGTCGGGGTTCAAACAGTAGGAAAGTAGGAAATGTGTGATATGCAGAATTATATGAAAGATGTATGGTTTAGGTCGCTCAAGGATATAGATGTGCTGATGGATGCAGAAAACTAAGTCAGCATGGGCAAAAATTAATCACACTGATCATTACCTGTTCATATTTCATAAACCCTGAAAGTATAAATATTTTTTAATAGAAGGTTGCAAAAGTTAAATGCTGCTTTTTCAAACCTCAAGGCAATAAAGCTCAAAACGTGGTAAGAGATATTTCTGTTGTAAACTCAGATTGAAGTCAAATTGAAACCCAAATATTAACTAGATTCATTGGTACACAAGACTAGAAGTTCATATCAAATTTATAACAACTGTAAAACATTAAATGGTTTTTCCTTGTCCTAAAAAAGAGAGTGACATGTTTTTAATGTTGGTTTTAGGATTTCAACATGAGTTGTTTCATTAATGAAGGTGGTACCAAATAACCAAAACATATATTTCAATAGCAGAAGTATTTTAGATTTAAGAACTTCAAAAGAAAAAAGCTCATCAAAGAGATTTTCAGAAGTGCATCATTAATTGGATCAGGTTGTCGGGTGAGGTAGGGTGGCAAGCTTCTGCCCTCCCAATCGTTGCATACATGTATGTGTGAAGGAGTATTAATTTACTCCGGATTTCATAGCGCCCTTAGCTGAATCGTTCAATCATTATAATTAGGAAATTATTCCTTCCTTACTTAGTCCCAAATTAATTGTTGTTTTGGAAAAATTTGCACATATTGAGATTTGAGAAACATTGTGTGAAGAACATTTTACCCTTGAAAGACTTTAACATTAAATGCACCTTATTTTTCCTGTTCAAAAAATTATTTGATGAAAGATGAGTTAATATGGGAAAATTTGAGATATTAGCATTTAGCAGAAGATATGAATTGATTTGCTAAAACAAAAACTATTATGGGGCAACTTTTTTGGCTAAAACCACATCTAATTTATGACGGAGGGAATATTGGCAAATTAGGCATGAGTTTGATTAGATTAACCAAAAAACACTACTAGGCTTGGCTAACAAAAGAAAGCAGAAGGCCAATTGCAGGAAGCTTCTGTTAGCAATTTAGCATAAGAGCACAACTGGCAAAAATATGTTCAGCTTGTACCTACATATACTGGAGTAAAATATATTCGAGCTTTTCCCAAAACACCCCTATAAACACTATTTCACAACCACAAAGATGACATCTAGAGTAAGGGAGCAAAAATATAGCAAACACTTACGTCCCAGAAAATGCAACAATTCCGGCTGTCAAAAGCCCTCCAAACTACAATACCAACCAAAAAAAAGAGCATGAAAAATATAGAAGTTTACATGTATATATCCACCGGGAAGTCAGACATATGACAACACTCCAAAAAAGAGGGGCGAGGGGCAAAATGGGGAAAATGAACTCACAATGTGGGGTCGTTTGGTAATAGGAGAAGCAACAAGAGCTGCTGTGTGAACCAAGTGGTATAGTGATGCAGTGTGCCAAACCTTCCCATCCAGATAACAAATCACCATCATCATATGCAAATAACAATAACAATAATCAGTAAATAATAATTAAATAAATAATTGTTTCCCGGTACCACTCAAACAACACAGTACAGACTTTACATATGTGTATCAGAAAAAAAAACAGTGAAAATGAGATAAAGATTCAATTTTTTTTGTAAGGAGATAAAGATTCAAATTTGAGACTATTAAATAGTAAATACCTCTTTGTATGTAGGGTTCTTGGGCTTGAATCCGTGGGCACCATAAGTGCCCAATCCAAGAGCAGCTACACCTGTTATTCATTGATCATGTTTAAGGGTTTTCATTTTCACGCCCAAAGAAGAAGAAACGAGAGAGCATTCAAACAATTTCATACTCATAAGGAAGTAATACAGTTCAAGGCTTCAGTGCGAAATTACCAGATATTGCAGAAATTATAAAATGATAGACAAAAGTGAAGGGTTTACCGGATACTGCAGCAATTTTGTGCCACATATAAGGATCCATAATTCCCTTCTTTTTCTTCGATTCTGGTCTCTGTTCTGTTGCTGATTTTTTTGCTCCCCATTTTGTAAACCCCACCTACGACGTCGTATGCTAGTACATTTTGACATCACATACTAAGAAAATGACACATACATATTTTGGGTCACAAACAAATTAGTGATTAATCTAGTATGTACATGAAGAAATTCAGACACCAAAACAAGGTATTTACGGTTTTGCATGTTTTTCACTTGCCCAGAAAAATTATTTACGAAAACAAAAAAAAATCATAGCTTTATAATATAAAGTTTATATTTGACTTCCTATTTTATGATTATTTTTTAGACTTCGCACCAAGTGGAGTACAAAATCAAACATTAAGATGAACTATAGTTGCAAAGTGTGATGTATATAACTAACTTTACTTTGGGGTAGTGTGCTTGTAAAATTAAATAAAACATGAGGACAAAATTACCAAACTTTCCGAAATTAGCACTTATTTTGATTTGGAAATTTGGAATATCTCGAGTAGAACTAAAAAATAATGTATGAAAAGGCGCAAATTAAACAGTGAGATAGTTACACACAATATAGTTTTTCTTTTTTTGAAATACAACACAATGTAGTTTTATATTAACAAAAACGCAAGCACTACTTCTCGACGATTCGTTCAACTCTTTCCTCAATTCCTCTAATTTTATTTCCTCATTCATCAAAATATTAAGACTCTAACCACAATTTCATTCTTTCTCATCATCAAAATAAATCTAGATTTTTTACATCTCCATCAATTAAAAAAAGAGGTTTTATTACAACAACAAACAACAACATTAACTCAATGCTGCAAGGGCTCTCACCTACATTGAGGTAAGAGGGGTCAGATGTACGCAACTTTACTCATGTACTAAAGTACGAAGAGACTGTTTCCGGATGACTCATGATGAAAATTTGTATCGAAATTTCTATTAATCTCTAATAAAAATTCATATTTATATGTGAAAGCTTGCAACTTTTCTTCAAACTCTATCATACTTCATCACTTTGTGTGATTTGAAAGTCTATAGGAGTATCGGTTTCATATGTTACATTTATTTATTACCAAGTGATATTACATTTCGTGATATTACATTTTCAGTAGTGCGACTTACATTTGCGATTGTGTGAGATTACTTTTCAAGTACACGAGTTACATTCTTATGCATGCGATTTGAACTACCTTTACTTTTCATTTAAATATGAAATATATATCTGATAATAGACTCTACTTTTTTTTGGCAAAATATTAGACTACTTTTAAATTGTTTATAGTGAAGTGAAAGTTTTAAAACTTATATTAGACAATTCAAATTTCAAAGTTTTAATTGTTAACGAGAGTTCTGTAAGCGTGAGTGACATTTCTTTATTATCCATACCAGACTAAAAGTTCAATAGTTTACATTTGCCGCTAAGTGATACTTCATATTTCATTGTTATGATTCAGCAACTGAAATGTTAGTTCAAATATTAAAACAAGAACGTTTTTAATTAAAACTTAAATTCCAACATGATTTTAGATGTGGTAGTAAACTAGTACGTGTTCACCACAGGTCGCTCCTCTAATGTAGCAATAGACCAAAAACACTATTTGACCGCTGCAAACTACTGTAAGCATGAGTCAAGAAATTTTATAAAACATTTCAATTCTTGCGTTTAAGAAAATTAAGTTTGTCAAATATGAATTACTCTTTAATGTTTTTATTCAAACATACCAATAAGGGTGCCCAGTGCCCACAGGTCAGGTCAAAGTACTACTTTAACCTGAAAAAATGAACACATAAAATAAAATATATTTACCGAAGTTCAGACACAAGATTAAGATGCAGATAATCGGAGATGCAAAATCATATAGTTTTGTAAATATCATGAACACTGTTCATATGCAATGCTAATAAGTAAAACAAACCATTCACCTATTCAGTGTTACGTGGAATTTTTGAAATCACCTCAGATCAAAAGCACAACAAAAAAAGTTCATCCTACCGTCCATGCCTGATAACTGCTACCATACATTTAAGTCAGTAAAAAACTAAAAAAAAAGAGGGATAAATTTAAATATAAATATATAACTATTACAAGGTTGCACAAACATGAAGAGTATGTAGAGCCGACTCAATCTTAGGGGCCTCACATGCTACACTGGTCACTTATGATCCTCACAGCTATGTGTGTTCAAACTTCAAATCTGTACAACTTTCATCTGAATGTCTGTTAGACTTATAATAATGTGATTAAATGATTCCGATCATCTCTCTCCTTTCCCTCAAAGGTTTGCTTTGCTTTCAGCCTATACCGTGGTGCACAGTGCTGAACTGATATGCTCTGTTTGGCAATGTTTTTCTCTATTATGCAGAGTTGAAATAACAGGGTTCATTTGTCCACAATGCTCTATTTGGGGACATAATTCCGTTTTATTCTCAAAGAGTTCTTCATCAGATGCATTTTGAAGAAGAAAATCAGGGATAGCAGCAGGATCAAGATCCCAGCAATCTCCCTGTGGAGCCTTTTTTGTTACGGTGGTGGTCCCACCTTCCCCGCCTTTCAGTAAAAAGGAGGGAACCATATGTGAAAAACGCAACATCTCTCTTTTCTGTATCCAAACAATAGCCTCCTTGTCACCATTTCTTTTGTAAACAGTCTTGAATCCATTAACTTTGACCATAGGAGCAACCCACACACCTAGTTCTTCAGAATAGTCTTCCAGCACCTCCACCATCTCATACTGGTGCCTGACTTCGTCCGGGGTTGACCTGTTCCAATCTGGTGACCAGTTACTATACACCGCCCAAATGTCCCCACGTTTAGGAAATATTCTAACACACCCTCCCCTGCGTGCCTTCTCCCTAGCGAGAAGGTGAGAGAAAACGTTGACCTGGTCAATGATTTCGGAGTTGGATGCCCTGAAATGTCCACATGATTTTGTAAAACCAGAGCACAGCCAATTCACTGCCCCAAATTCACTGTCAGATTTCGAGTTTAAGTGGCTGATGTGGATCTTGAATGGTTTTAGAGAGAGGACTTCGCGGACTAGACAATACAAACGTGGCATTCCGTCTTCGTCATCATATAAAGCCCATATTTGTTTAGGTCTGAAGCTTTCTTCTGCTCTGTCTTTGTCAAAATCATGGAAATCAGAGTCCGGAACTGTTATTGTTGTGGGCCCCAATTTCCTTATCCCTGATTGCTGTCTTTTGGGTCTGTTACTGAATTCCCCACCACTTTCACTGATGGATTTTTTCTTCTCATCTTCCAGCTTTATCTCTTCCAACTTCTTGCGAATTACTGTTCTAGCCTTGTCAATTAGTAACTGTCTCGAATCATACACAGGGGCAAGTGAGCGTTTGGAAACAGCCTCAAATACAGAAGTAATCTTAGAATTGGCAATTCCTGCTTCGGTGAGAATAGGAGAAGACATTTGAAAATTATTGTTTTTTCCTTCAAATTCAACTTTCCTCACCTTAGCAGGCCTACCACGCTTGGTGGTCCTATGTTTCAAGTGATCTTTCTCTCCAGTGCCACCAGAAGAGTTCCCGGAGACCCGCTGAAAGGATATATTGGAAGCATATTCTGACTCATGTCCATGGCCGTTCCGATGCCCATTCTCACGGCTTTGGACCCAGGTACAGTATGGATAAATGCCGTTCACTGGGCCCAAGCCCGTTTCGTAAGCAGTAAAAACACCACGACAGTTCTTACAAGTGAGTTTCTTGTTTTGGTACTTCCTAAGATACTCATATTGAACTTGACAGGTGGAACAGACGGTCCAAAAAGTATGTGGAGAGTACAAATTTCTCCTATGATCATAAGATCTTCTTTTAGCATTATCAGATAGTATAGCCCATGCCTCAGAAACAAGCTTAAATGCCCCATCAGCTCCAAGACTTCTGTTCTTGTCGGGGTGAAGCAGAAAAGCCATCTTCTTGTACTGTTTCTTAATACAAGACCTATTTGCAGAGGAGTCCAATCCCAAGATGCCATATAAATCAACCTCTCCATTAATTTTCACCTCTGCAGCACTGTAAACTCCAAAAGTTACCACCATTTGAGCTATGCCGTCTAAACTAGGGCACATCATCTGAGCTTTCAGAGCAAAACTTTTTGCACCCACAAAGTCCTTCTCAGCAAATCTCATTTCGGCATTTGCCTTGGCTCTTAGAGCTTCGCCTATGTGCGCATCCATCAAAGAAATCCCAAAGTTTAAGCAGATTTTCGCAAAAGTATGTATGGGAAGCTAATCAGCACCCCGAAAAGGAAGTCGTTTCAGCCCACTTCTCATGTTATATTTCTGCAATCCAACACCAACTTTATAAATTAAAAGATAAGCTCAAATTTAATAAGTTAATTTAGATATTCGTGGAAACTAATTTTTTATAATTTATACATGTATACAAAGACTGAAATCTAATACAGATTGGAAATCATAGGCACCGATGTGGCTATGCAGATGCTAAGATGCAATTCTAGACCAATAAGCTCATGAAAATGGAAAACTTACAGCGCATACTACCAAATGCATATGACATGTAGATTAACTTGTAAAGTTTATACCTATCCGAGCAACACTACTTAATATGGAGTACATCTAATTATATGCACCTGGTGCATGTTTTAGATATCCCCATCTAAATATAATACGAAGTATGTAAAACTTTAAAATACTAATCACATTTCTTTTTTCATTTTTTTGCATTTTCCATAGTAAAACTAAAAATAAGAAAATAATTGCCTTTAGCATCTGTTTTTCTTCCACTAGCATTTTTCAGAATCCAAACATTTAGAAAGGATTAAATAATTTTACAACCCCAAAAACTAAAAATTTGGGAACCAGAGAGGTGATCCTCAACCCTACTCTATGTTCCACAATGAAGTCTGATCCTAGCCTTTTAGCATTTTTACTCATTTTGTACTATAAGTTCCAGGATTCATATAAATATTCATGGAAAACACATATAGTAATAAACCACCCCACAAAAGAATAGTTCAATAAACTATGAAGTTATAAACTTATAGTTACATAAAAATCATTCAAGATCAGTTCAAAGCACAACCACCCAATTTTGTGAGATATTCAAACTCAAGTCAAAGAAATTTCAACTCTGCTTGAAATTTAACTCAACATCAGTAAATATTAAAAGAATCAAATTACCAAGGGATATCCATAACAACTTAAACACCAAGATCCAAGCTAAAACCTCCATAATTAACATGAAAAATGAAAATCGGTGAATACAGCAAAAGGTGAAGCATCAGCCTGGCAAGTGAACTATAGAACTACTCACTGAGAGAAGAAGTAGAGTAGATTTACTCTAATCAAACCTGACCCGAACCGACAGGATCTCCGTCTGATCCTCAGCTTTGCCGCAGATATCCAGATCTAGATCGAGCCTACAAAGACATTTGAGTTAGGGCAAGTAAACCCGTCTGAGGAAATGCAAATTGTAAATTTCATAAATAAGAAAAATGTTTACCCTAAAAAGAAAAGTGCTTATCCAAATAACAATAATAATAATGATAATAAATATTATTATATACGGAGTATATTATTATTATTCTAAAAAAATAATAACCTTGCGAGGTTTGGAATTACAGTTCCGGCAGTTGACGGCGGCAGAGATGCTATGTATTCCGTCGGTAACCTCCGATTGGGTAAGTATTTCTTCGATTCAACTATTACTCCAACTTACACTAAAATTGCATTTTTTCTTATCAGAATGGTTGTAGTTAATTAAAATTTGATAAAAATAGAAATCATGCCATAAATGAAAAATAAATCCTAATAGTAGGGTAAAATTTCGTGCGATTAACATTTTTACAAAATCTATTTTTTTAATGGCTACAAGCTAACCACAATGTGGAGCCCATAGGAAATAATAGAGTTTTCTATATTCCTCAATTACTTTATTAATTTTGTACTTGATATAATAATTATATAACGTGACATATAAATGATCATTGTAAAGAAAAGTGAAAAGGGGTTATGTCTCTAAAGTTATGGAAAGCGTGAAGATACCCATAATATTTTTATCAAAGAAAAAATGATCTAATTACCACTCAAAAACACTAAAAATACATTGATGAGTATATTGAATTAGAAAATTCAAAACTAAAAAGCATTTTGTGTTCAATGCTTCTTTTCATTTTTATATCAAAATTTAATATTATTAATATAAAAGAAATATTAAAAAAAGAATACTATACATTTTATGCATTTTAAACTCACATTTTGTGCCAACTTACGCATTTTTATTTATTTATGTATGTATTTAATTATAAATTATAAATACTACTAGTAATATTTTTTTAGTATGGTAATCCTAATCTACTTTTGGAAAATGCATAATGCGTAAAAATGAGTATGGCGCAAAAAATATTTTGCTCGTGAAATCAAAAATCTCAAATACTTCATTCCTCTTATATTAAACTCGCATGTTAACTTGTCAGAAGAATTGAAAAGGTAAATATTATATGATCAAAAGTTATTCATATAAGAGAAAAATCATATAAATCCCAAATTCTTTGTCATAGTAAAAAAGTGACAATAACTTTAAATATATGCCCTATCACTCATAATCTAATAATAATACATATTTTGAAGGTATAAAGGGAAAATGCAAGAATGAAATTTATTGACAAAAGGAATGGACATAAAAGAACTAAAAACTTATGATATTTTACTGTTGTGCACATTTATATTGTGCACATTTATATTGACAGACAAAAAATGAGGAGTCTATTGAACAGTAACAATGTGTACAAAATCTATGAACAGTAAAATGGTGTACAAAAGGGTTCTTTGGAAAAAGATATTTGCTCAATCCTCACTTAGTATTTAAAAAATCAGCACTATTGAGATCTTCATATTTAACAATGGAAGAGCATGTATGACACGAAGATGAGGAGTCTTGTGATAGATTTTGAGAGTGACTTACAACTAAATTTGTAGTTTTGTTTTATAAATTTATTACATGCAATAGCCTAATGAATTTATAAAATTACTGTTGTAATGGCTAATATAGTTACGTATGAGTAGTGGTTGTTTTTAGAGAGATTTATATATTTATGAATTAGGTGTTCATAGATTCCTAAAATATGCCTAGCATTCATAAAAAAACAATATAATCGTATTAGGAATTAGCACATTTTTTAGTATATTTTTTAGATTCCTAAATAATTTTCTCTTGTTTTAATCACGCAATCTACCATAATATTATTAGCTTTAATCAGAAGTATGAATGTATGATTACTTTTGTAGTGGCATAAAGCTAAATTATAATCAAGGAAAAGTGTCAGATAGGTCTTCGAACTTACATAAAAAGGTCAAATAAGTCCTTATATAGGAGGCTCTGTTCGTCCATCGTCATTTGAGGTGGTTCCCGGTAGAATTTTTTGATGAAATTTTTTGAGCATCATATTTATTAAGTCTAGTTTGCTTATGCAAAAAAAAAAGTCTAGTTTGCTCACACCAAATTTCAGCTAAAACTTCAATCGGGAAGACATTCAAATAAATTCTTGAATATAACTGCGCTTTTAACTACGTAGATATGTTTAAGAATTAATTTGAACGTCTTCCCGATTGAAGTTTTAGCTGAAATTTGGTATGAATAAACTAGACTTAATGAATAAGATGCTCAAAAAAATTCATCAAAAAATTCCATCGGGAACCGCTCTAAATAGCGACAGCCGGACACGGCCTCCAATATAAGGACTTATTTGATAAGTTCGAGAACCTCACTATTTTCCAAAGAAATTAGAATTGGTACTTATTTTGGCTAGACTAGAATGAGTTTGAACTTGGAATGAGTAGTCATCTAATAACTTGACCTAAATAACTTGTTTTACACCTGCGATCTTGCAAATAATATTTGCCGGCTTTAAATTATCTTGATCATAGTAGCTCGCAATTTCTCGACGTAATTCAGGCAGAGGGAAATCTACTTTGACATCAACCCAGGTTTGGACTTGCAAACGAATGGCATCTGAACTGTGGAAATCAATGAATACCATACAGCATCGCATGCTTTCAGTACTTGTCGATTCCGCGAAGAAATCCAACCAAAATCCACTAGGATTCATCAATTCCCCAGTGAACTCGAAGAGGAGAAATCGGCCCCCAATTCCGCTGCCGCACAGAACGATTCCGGAACCCAAAGGGCAAGACCTTGATTTCGTGAATGTGGCTCACAGTCACCTCACCCACTCCGACTGGGCGAACCTCGAATCAATATCATCCATGTTGACGCCTTTCAGAGTAAAGCACGTTCTTTTGAAAACCCAAAAGGATTACGTGCTTTCGCTAGAGTTTTTTAATTGGGTAGGTCTCAAAGCCCCCAAATTGCAGACTCTCGAGTCCCGTTCCATAGTTCTTCACGTCCTTACCAAACACAGGAAGTTCAAATCGGCGGAATCGATCCTAAGAAAGTTCCTGGAATCATGCTCTTTAGACGTTGATCTTCCAGCGAAGCTCTTCGATTCCCTGATATATTCATATAGAATGTGCGATTCTTCCCCGCGTGTTTTTGATTCCCTGTTTAAAACCTATGCACATATGAAGAAGTTTAGGAATGCCACTGATGTGTTTTGTAGTATAAGGGAATATGGGTTTCTCCCAACTGTTGAGTCTTGCAATGCTTATATTAGTTCGTTAATGGGGTTAAATAGGGCAGATATTGCATTGTCATTTTACAGGGAAATGCAAAGGTCTAAGATCTCCCCCAATGTGTATACTCTGAATATGGTTATTGGCGCATTTTGTAAATCAGGGAAACTGGAAAAGGCTATTGAAGTGTTTAAGGGAATGGAGAACAAAAATCTGAAACCTAACGTTGTGTCATTTAACACTTTGATATCAGGTCACTGTAATAGTGGTCTGCTCAGTGCTGCTATGAAGCTCAAAAACACGATGGAGAGGAGTGGGATTAGCCCAAATGATGTTACTTTTGGTACACTGATCCATGTGTTATGCAAGGAAGGGAAAATGAACGATGCTAATAAGCTGTTTAATGAGATGAAAAGGATTGGTGTGGCTCCAAGTGTTGTTACGTACAACACATTAATCAATGGGTACAGCCAAGCCGGTAAAAGTGAGATGGGTAATCAAGTTTATGAAGAGATGTGGAATAAAGGAATCAAAGCTGATATCTTGACTTATAATGCATTGATTTTGGGGTTTTGTAGGGAGGGCAAGACCAAGAAAGCTGCATATTTGGTGAAAGAACTTGATAAAGCAGGGTTGGTTCCGAATTCATCTACATTCTCTTCGCTAATAATTGGACAGTGTGTAAAGAAGAACTCTGATCGTGCCTTTCAACTCCTTAAAAGTATGGTTAGGGCTGGTTGTCACCCAAATGAGTATATTTTGAGTGTTTTGGTTTCCACCTTCATCAAGAATGATGATTATGATGGAGTAATGCAAGTGCTCAAAGAGATGCAAATGAGATCTTTTACTCTTGACTCGGTTATCTTGACTGAGATTCATGATGGGCTCTGTAAATATGGTAAAGAGGAAGAAGCTAGAAAGGTGTTTCAGGAGATAGAAGCAAGAGGTCTTATGCCCAAAGGATTTGAGTCATTTGACCAAACTAGAATGAATCTTTGGCATATGTAAGTCAAGTGCCATCCAGTCAATATTTTCACTTGCAAGGCTCGCCAGTTCAAATTCATAACATGAGCGATCCTTCTGGATTTTTTTATAGTAGTCTTTCAGATAGCTCCATGATTATTGGGTTTGTAGCATTGTCTCATCATTGCATTGATCACTCAACCGTAATTTGACATTTATAGCCACAGACAAAGCGAAGTTGGCTGAACAATTGCCAACCTTGAAGTTGTCAACATTGTTAGTTGTTACTAACCAGGTACTTTTTCACCATTTTGTTAGCTTATGAGTGAAATTTAAATCCTTAAATCTTAATCTTCAGGTCCTTAGATACACTCTTGATTTTTTACCCTTGTAATCCTTTCAGGATTCTGGTTTTATCCACAAGATATGTGTAAAAAATGGCCTCAGGCCTCCAGATCTCCTTATAATCCTATTGAGGAACCGATATATCTCACTATCTCCACGTATTCTGTATCTGTCCGCCAATTATCATCTTATGCCATGTGTGCCTGTCCACACATCTTGGTTTTATATTTTTCCTTAAACCACTAGGGGTCCATTCCTCATGGTTATTTCACTGAACTTCATAGATGCTAATATTACTTACTACCTCAGTCTCCAAATAAGGTTCTTATTTGCTTTTGATATGATAATCAACATACAGTGAAAATTGCTTAGATAGTACCCCTATTTGTTTAGAAAGAGGGAAGAAGAATCTAAAGAACACAATTTTTTTATTCAATGGAAATGAAAAGATGTTTTTGACATGAATGGATAAGTAAAGTGAGAAGCTAATTTGGGTATACGGGGATGAATATAAAAGCCAAAATGAAGTCATTTTTTTTTGTACTTCGTATGAAATATTTTTTTGGCAACTCATGGCAGGTATTTTACCTACAGGGAATAATCTTACCAAGAAGAGGGTTGAGACGGGAGGGTGTTGTGTGTGCAGTGAGGTGACCACTGAAACGGATCTGCATTTATTCCGAGAGTGTACAGTGAGTACAACGGTGTGGGTGAATATTGGCAGCAGGTTTGTTCGTCAATGAGGGACAATTGGCGAATGGGTTCAAGGATATTTTGATAACTTGGGTATGGAAGATCTTTGCTGTTTTATAGTTGACTTTGGAACTTGTGCAAAGGAGTGTCATGGAGGCAGATTATAGAGGTGGGGATTGCAAGTCTAAATGGATGGAAAAAAGCGCAGGAGTCGTGGTCGAGGAAGGGGATTGTGGACAGTGGGGAGGGCTGGTGTAGGCCGATGTCAGGATACATTAAAGTGAACATGGATGCGGCCATGAATCCTAGAGAAGGTATATGTGCTTGGGCATGGGTGGCTAGAGAGACAAGGAAGGTAATTTTCTTCGAGGTGGCTGTCAGACTTCGTTTGCAAGTTGGTCAGCTGAAATATCAGAAGCCTTGGGTGTCTGGGAGGCATTGGGCTGGGTAAAAGAACATGAATGGGTTGATGTTAATTTGGAATCAACTCTCTAATTCGATACTATTCTGGAGGACATCAGATTTTTATTGCATGATGAATCTAGGATAAATACTACACACTGCAAGAGGTCCGCAAATGGAGTAGCACATTCATTGGCTCGAGCTGCTCTATCTATGCCGGATGACATTGTTTATTTTGTTTCACCCCCTAATTGTATTTTGAGTCAATTGATGAACAATGGCGTTTTTCCTTTCAAAAAAACCAAGGAAATGGCTTTGGTGCCAAATGCTTCAATTGGGTGCTAAAATGTGCAATGTACAACAATTCCCTGCGATCTTGTCTACTTTTGGGCCTATGAGCGACACTTATTTACTTACTTCAAGTAAGAATTATAGTAAAACTGTAATAAACTAATAAAGCTTATAAAATTAAGATGAAATTTACTTTTTTTTTATTATTTAAAGAGAAAACTATCAAATAAGCCCTTGTACTATATCAAAATAGTTAATTAAACCCTTGTACTTTGAAAACACCCAATTACACCCTCAAACTATTAAAAAACTTCCAATTAGGCTTTTTAGCAGGTCTTCAACCCGTTTCCCGGTTACCTGCGCACATGGCTGCACACGTGGCAAGAATCATGCGGTATTTTTTCGTTTTTTCTTTGTATTTTCATTTTGCTTTATTTTTTGTTTCTCTGTGTTTTCAATTTGCCGTTCCACAGCTTCACAAGGCAGATTTGACGGACTTTCCCATCTCCCACATGAGAACGATTCCTCCCTAGCAGTTTCCTTCGCCACATCCAAGGTCAGGTCACTTCCTTCGCCACAAAAGCAGCTCTTCTAGCTGGGATCTGCGGCGAACTCTGGTGAGGGCGGCAATTCCGGCCAGGGCAGAAATTCCGGTGAGGGCGGGTCCTGTCTTGGGCTTTGGCAATCCGCCCCTGCTGTTTTAGGCTCGAATCGAGAAGGAAAATTGAGCCCGTCCAGGCGGCTTCTTCCTTCGTACTAAAGGTCCCAAGCTGCAAACACGGCTGACCGGTTGTTCTGTTGGGACTTCCGGCGACAATAACTCAGGTGACGGCCGCTTGTCTCCTCATGCCAAAGGAAAGAAAGAAAGAGCAAAAGAAAAAGAAAAAAGGAAAACAAAGACAAAGAATCAAAGAGAAAGAGGAGTGATCATCGGGCATTCATGGGAAGATGGGGATTGACGGGGAAGCTGGAGGAAGTCTGGAAGGATGGGAACCAAAACAGAGAAAAGGCAAAAAAAAAAAAAAAAACAGAGAAAGCGAACAGAAAATGAAAGAGAAAAATAAAGGAAAAAGAGAAAAAATGTCATGTGGCTAGCCACGTGTGCAACTAACCGGGTAACCGGTTCTATACCTGCTAAACAGCCTAATTGGAAGTTTTTTTTTAAGGTTTGAGGTAGGGCTGGCAATATCACCCGCACCCGCGGATACCCGGTCAACCCGAACCGAAAATATGGATGAAAACCCGAAGAAGTATGGATGAAAAATGGATGACGGGTGGATCGAAAGACGGGGTGGATCGGGTGTGGATGAAGGCTCATCCAACCCATCACCCGACCCGTCACCCGTTCCATCCACCCACCCGCTGACCCGCATACAAGTATATAATATATAATATATAATATATAATATATAATATATAATATATCTATTTAATAATATATAATAATAATAATAATAATAATAATAATAATAATAATAATAATAATAATAATAGTTAATTGGATAAACAAAGATAATTGGAGAGCCTCAAGAAGTGGCAGTTAAATAGCAAAAATAGTTTTGTGCCGATGCATAAATGCAAAATTTAACAACTTGAAGAAGTTTTATGTCTATTTTGATTAACATTCAGTTTTTTCTTTATCATTGGCAGTGAATTAATGATTGTAATATACTTAATTGCTCATGTTTTTGTTGTTATTTTACAATGAATTCTTAATTTTTGGTTCTTAATTGTCATGATTTCTCTTTGTAATTTATTTATTTTGTCTCAAGTTTGAACATTTATATTTCACCCGCTACTCACCCGATCCACCCGATAATCCGTTCAAGATGGATGGGTTGGATGTGGATGTAATTTTTAATGGATGATGGACGGGTGGGTGGAGTATAAAAAATTAACGGGTGGACGTGGATGAGCCTCCACCCGGTGAAAATCCGACCCGCTGCCACCCCTAGTTTGAGGGTGTAATTGGGTGTTTTCAAAGTACGAGGGTTGAATTGACTATTTTGATATAGTACGGGAGCTTATTTGATAGTTTTCTCTTATTTAAATTACGGATCAAAGTAGCAACACAAGTATCACAAAGAAATATTACTCCCTCCGTCCCAGGAAGAAGTTCCCACTTTCCTTTTTTGGTAGTCCCAACAAAAAGTTCTCATTTCCCTAAATGGAAAGTTATCCTACATCAAAATAGTGTCAAACAGTGCAAAACAGTGCCAAACAGTGTCGAAACAGTGCCAAACAGTGTCGAAACAGTGTCAAACAGTAAAATTTACCCCTCAGTAACTTTATTTCCTAAATATGTGTGAAAGTCAACCCGGGAACTTCTCCCTGGGACGGAGGGAGTATTTAAAAACATTGTGTCAGCGTTGTGAGGCGAAATCATCAATAAGTGTTCCAAGATATCATGTTCAATGTTTAAAATTGCTAGTCCATTAAGCTTTTTTGTGACATAATCAGGATGTGGTTTGAAATCTAGGAGGCATGGGCAACCAGGGACGGATCTGGTATAGGACCAGTGAGGGCCTAGGCCCAACCTAAAAGAAATTACTAGTATATATATGTAGTATATATGTTGTGAAGATATGGTATAATAATAACAAACGTCAATATGTACACAACATCCATTCTGGCGTGATGGTAGAAGCCTGACCTTACTTCATAGATGAAGTGTGTTTGATTCCCAGTCCGAGTAGCAATTTTGTTTAGTTTCTTTCATCCAAATCCCAGAACGTACTACTTAAAATTTTTCATTTTTTCCCCAAATAATCTCTACTACCCACACTGGAACAAGAGTAGGATTATTCCTTCAAACATATCTATTTAAATTAAGTTTCTACTTAATTTTAAAGTCTGAATTTCAGATTTTTGAATACTAGCATGAAAAATTAATTAGTTCAATTAATTGGACTTTTGAATATTAATCTGAAAAACCAATTAGTTCAACTGATTGTGCTTTTGAATATTAGTCTGAAAAACCTATTAATTCAATTGATTGGGCTTTTTGAATATTGTCCTAAAAATTAATTAGTTCAATTCATTGTGATTTTGAATATTGATCTGAAAAATTAATTAGGTGAATTCATTGGGTTTGATAGGTGAAAACTAGTTGTTTTACACTAAGTATAGATTTTAGAGTTTAAAAAAAATCGGTTTATCTGGTTTTCGAGAAACTGACCTAAAAAATGGTACTCCGTACTAAACATTTGGGTGACGTCAATATCTATGACTTTTAAGATAACTGTATTGACGGTTCTATTAGATGAACTTTTTTTCTTTGACATTTCTATAATATTATTATAATACATTTTGATTTTTTTTGCAATATACGCTATTTAATAAATTTTTCGCCCTACCTGAACGTAAATGCTAGATCCGCCCCTGTGGGCAACCCAAAACCAATGGTATAAATCGATAATTTTGTAATTAGAAGGAAATAAAACACCTTAAAGGCTAAACAGATGTGGAGTGATTACCTAGAAATGTTTACTCTTTTTTAAACTTGTGTGAGCGGCTCTTGTCAAGACGTTTCACTTTTGTTTTAATACTTTTAAATTGTCAGCAAAAATCAAACATTAGGACCAATTAAATAATTGGATTTATAAATAAAAAAGAAGTCCACTGACATGACATATAAAGAAAAAATAGGACCTAATATTCTTTCTAATTTTTTCAGGCATAGGGCAATCCCCCCCCCCCCCCCCCCGCAGGGCAAACCCATAGGTAAGTCATTATTTCTCCAAATTCTATTGTTTTGTATACCTAAGGTTCAATTTAATGGTTCTATTCAAGATGAGGTAAAACTCATACAATGTATTAATCACTACTGTATATATTAGTGCATGCACGCCTCTTTCTTTTCATATTTCTTGTCTATGCACACCTAACATGTACTCCCCTTCTCTAGTTCAGTTTCTATATCTCTTTTACCTCTTCATATGCATGGATCTGCTGTTTCTATATTACCACTACGTATTATATTGTTCCTGCTGTTATTAAAGATGTTAAACTGCTTATGTTATTTCTGATTGTTCACCATTTTAAGTTTAATCAGCAGTGCAGAAAAGGATTTGAAGTGGTGACTATATTTCTAAGAGGGCCGCCAAGTTACCTAGCTGTGTCACTGTGTAAATACAAAAGGAATATTAATGAAAAACAATGACGTTGCAATTCTTCTCTTATTTGTTAGACAGTTCCAAGTGAAAATGATATTTAGTCATGTACGGCATTGTTTGTTGGAAAGGTAATTAGCTGACTTTTTTTGACTATGTTATTTCATTTAAACCCATTTTTATATCGCTTGAAACATAAGTTGAAGCTCTAAATTTTTTAAAGACTACATTTACCAAATATTAAAGGGGCAATTTGAGTTTGCACCCCATTTTTTTGAGCAAATTAGACTTTGCACCCCGTTTTTAAAAACTTTGTTTTTGCACCCCAATCCCATATGAAAAGACAAAATTGCCCCTCCATTAACAAATTTGTTGGCCTTCAACGTATTCCTAAACGAGGGCATTTTTGTCTTTTCATATGAGGTTGGGTGCAAAATTAAAGAGTTTTAAAAATGGGGTGCAAATTCCAATTTGAACGATAAAATGGAGTGCAAACTCAAATTACCCCAATATTAAAGGATGGATGCGTGTCACCTGAAATGTCTCACTCACCCCGGACTGCGCCCACCCCTACTAATATTATCAGAAACATTTCATAGAGTGAACAACCTCATGAATAGTATAATCTATAAACAACATTATCATAGACGGTTCGGAACGGTCCGGTAAACTAGTAAAACCCGTAATGTATCCGTTAGGTTTTTAACGGTCCAGTTTCAAGGATGGAACCGTTCGGTACCATGCCGTTTCGGAACGGTACAAAACGGTACAGTACAATGCCATATTGTCATACACATGCTAAAATTTTTGAACAAATCTTGCAATTAATTAGTTGATATCTTCACACCAACCAAGTCACATGAAATGTTGATATAACTACAAGAAATTGCATATGTAGTACTAAACTTCACAAATACACAAATAGTGCAACACAACTAAGAAAAAGTATAGCAAAATGATGACGCATGTATCATCTTTAATTTACTAAGTTCATGTGAAAATATAAAAAAACATATCATCAAATGGTTGAATATTTCTCCGTAGTTCTAATTTAATTTATAGTTGAAACTTGAAAGCTAAGATTTAAACCATATTAATTAAGTTGTAAAATTGCGCAAACATGATACTCCTTACTACAAAAAGTCATGTACACTACATTACTAGAAATGAATAGTCCTTAATGATTTCTAAAATTTTAATATTCTCTCAATACATATCAAAATATAACAGAAATTATCTAAAAAGAAAAAATAACAATATATATAATATAAACACACACATTTAGCTAGTTTAGGAACGCATGAATACATACTTGGGCTATAAAATTGTTTGTCTATAAAAGAGATCTATTGGTATAGAAAAATTATAAAAAATTCAAATGCATTATTTTTTAACGGTTCGGTCCGGTATTTTTTGGTTCTCAAAATCTAGGACCGATACCTTACCCGTTTCAAACGGTTCAGTTTCGGTACGGGACTAAAATCTATAGAACCGTTTAAATACCCGATATTTGGTTTGTTGGTACCATTGCGGGACGTCTTGGTACCGGTTCGGTACGGATTTTATGCCCACCCCTAAATATTAGTATGTAAGTTTGACCCTTGAAATATGTTCTTGAATACACCATTGACTGAGGCAGCACATCTGTGTACTTCTATTGCAATGTCCATAAATGAATGCAGAATAAATCACACGAACAGCTTTGACATGCGGTGAGTAATAAATACTACGTATTAAATAAGGGTGGACTAGGATGGGACCTGGCAGGCTTCACGCTAAAGGATTTCGGGCCCGATACTAGCCTGGGTTTGTACCGGTACCGGGTTGGGCCGGGCTACTCAGCCGGGCTACTCAGTCGGGCTACTCAGCCGGGCTTTGGTCCGGGCCTCGGTCGGCCTATTTTTTTGAAGGATTAAAAGGATTTTTTTTTTTGAATTGTTGACCGTTAGGCCCGGGCCGGTCCACTAAAAGCTGAGCCTGATGCCCACCTGCTTCTTCCACCTGGCCAGGTCCACTAAAAGCTGAGCCTGATGCCTACCTGAGCTGCTCCTTCCAACGGGTCAGGTCCCGGGCTTGGTACCAATCTGGGACAACCGGGCCGGGCCACACCGGGCCTAAACAGTGCCTGGTCAGGCCAAACAGCGGGTCAGGTAGGCTCGTCCCAGTCCATCCCTAGTAATAAATGGGGGCTTTCAGTTATGACAGATATGTATTATTTTATTGAGATTCGCAGTAGGCTTGCATTACCTGATTCCTGAAGGCTTCCAATTTCCAAAGGGCATATTTAGTGTAAATGAAAATTAATGTCACTCTTGAGGTTAAATCATAACTACTTGTCCAAACTTATACTTTTAAAAAATATTCATTAGTTACACATTAAGATTTGACTATTCTCTCAATCTTACCCTTCTCTTCTGCAGTTGTGTCTCATTTGACACCAGTTCATTGCAAAATCAAGTAACTGTCATCTGAAATTGCATTCTAAGAAGTTAAGAATACTTGTTATTCTTTATTATAAGTCGTGATAATTGTTCACTATTTTTCCGCCTCATGAAAATGAAATGTCTATGAGATTGGCAGAGGCGGAAAAATAAAAAATAGTAATAATGACTTGTAATAGTAAAGAATTATTTTGACCTTCAGCCTTTTAAGGAATGATTTTATACACTTTTGATCAGATTTGATAATCATATAATGTCAATGAGACAAGTATTAACAAAATGAGAAAGATGCGATAGTTGTTAGACCAAAGCGCTTTTAACACAAATTGATATCGCCCAAGTCACTTCAACACCAACTTATGGCGTTAGAGGTTCGTATTGAGGTTCAACTTTCAAGGTGAGGTGAGCGTTGATATTCCCAACAATAACAATTGAACTCTAACGGGTTATTATTTTGCTTTCAAGAACTCAAGGCAGTACTAAGTATGACCAAACCTCAAAGGACAAAGAGTAACATACGATCAAGACAATTAAAATGCATGCTTTCACACGATATTACATCAGTGTCTGACCTTAGCTTTTTTATATAAAAAAATCTGAAGATAGGCGCACACAAGTCCGGCCATAAGAACAAGAAGGAATTCCGATGAAATAAAAATTATCATCTTTACACAGAGCATGGCTGATATGATAAGTATCCTTCATTCAACTAAATGCCAGTTCATGCCGTGCAATCGCACATTGGCCAGGGTAGAAGCCAAATAACATTTACTATACATACTGTAAAAATATGTGAAGTATAGCAATGAATAAAAACTGTGTGTATAATGCCAGTTTGGTAACCTTGTTTATTTGGCTTAGGATATGTTTGACACAACTAGCTGAAAAGATATTTTTGTGAGCTTTTTAATAACCGTTATCTTTTAGTAACTGAAAAGATCTTAAAAAGAAAAGGCGGTAGCTGTTTGGAAAAAACTGATTATTTGATTTAGTTCGGTTTGGTATACAAACTGTTAGAGCTAATTAATACTAAAAATTATGGGGTTTTTTCAGATGCTACTGCCTGTAACATCTCAAAAAAGATCTTTTAATTTTTGAAAAACTCTTAAAAATTGGCATGTCAAACATATAGCTATAAGCTTTTAGAGACTTTTTGAACAGCATAAAAGCTAGAAGTCAGAGACTTATACCGACCAAAAATAGCCTTATAAACCTTATTAGCCCGATTTCTTACCAAACACACTACACTTTTATTCTGTGTGCTGAGATAAATAATAAAGAAAAGTAAGTTTTAAGATATTTTTATGATTGATGTGCTGAAGAGGATAATCTTAGCTTTTTCCATATAATTTTTTCTTTATGTTATGTTTAAAAAAGGGAAAAATAATTAAAATATCCCCAATTTTGAAGAGGTGTGACGTAAGCACCCCAAACTTGCATATATAATTTAAATACCCAAACTTTATATAAAAGTTATTTTGACACCATTTTTGAGTGTTATTTATTTCAAAAATGTTACTTTTTGGTGTTAATTTCATAATTTAAAATTTTTTAGCATTCATGAAATACAATTAACATTCTAAACTTTCATTGTAAAATAAATAATACTACACCCACTCTATATAATTGCAACATTTTTAATTTGTTATTTAAATTATACAATGAACACCATAAATTTACATTTTTGAAAGAATTAATATATGACATGTTGGGCCCTAAATAATTCTCTTTTGACTAGCCCGGCAAAAGAGTAAAACTTGTAGGAGGTATGCCCAGCCCATAAGCTAACCAAATGCGGTCCACCTAATCAAGGGATATTTTAAATTTTAAAGTAAAGATAGAGCCGAAGGAGTCCACACACACCTGAAAGTAAGAGGACAGGGCGTAAAGATAGCATTCGGTCACTAAACTTGGGGAAAGGGTAGCTTTTTGCTGCATAAATACATTAGACTATTCCCATTGTAGAACATATGGTGAGCATTCGATTACCAATGGGGGATAAAGAATCAGATGTCCTAAAGGTATGGTATTAGACTATGAGCCCGTTTGGTAACGCAAAGCTGTGCTGAGTGTCCTTAATTATGAGATAATTATATTATATAGATCTACATTTTAAAAAGGGAAAAATAATTAAAATACTTCAAACTTTGAAGGTGTGTGAGATAAACACCCCAAACTTTCATATGTAATTTAAACACCCCAAACTTTAGATAAAAAAATATTTTAGCACCATAGTCATGTTTAAACAAGAAATAATCTAGTCTAAATGAATATTTGAATAGGGAATCAAGCAATACCGAATTCAATATGGAATAATTAACCAAGAAAGTAAATTAATATGTGCTGATAGAAAGATCTTCGTAGTATGCTTTTGTTTTACAGAATATATTTCTAGTATCTTGGTAATCGAATGCTCACCATATGTTCTACATTGGGAATGGTCTAATGTATTTATGCAGCAAAAAGCTACCCTTTCCCCAAGTTTAGGAACCGAATGCTATCTTTACGCCCCGTCCTCTTACTTTCAGTTGTGCGTGGACTCCTTCGGCTCTATCATTAATTTAAAATATCCCTTGATTAGCTGGACCACACTTGGTTAGGTTATGGGCTAGGCATACCTCCTGCGAGTTTTACTCTTTTGCCGGGCTAGGCATACCTCCTGCGAGTCTTACTCTTTTGCCGGGCTAGTCAAAAGAGAATTATTTAGGGCCCAACAGTTGCCCCCATTCGTGATGGTGAGGATTAGTTCGCGGGTAAACATAGTCATCATTACGAATTTAAACTCTTCCGTCTATTCGACTTGCTCCACTCTTCCCGATGTCTGCCTTAACCTCTCGTAAAAAGAGACACCTTTTATTGCCAAACGCGATTTAGCCCCTCTTTCTTCTCAACCCTCGAATCTCGTCCTTTAGCATATGAAATTTCCCAAATTTCTCTCTTCCATTGCATCCATGTAACTTGCCGTCTTCAAGAGTCAAGGTGTCTTCGAGATGAAGAACCTTAGGGCGGCCGATTTGTGGACAAAGGACTTGGAGGAGAGGTTAAGTCTTCATACGGGTTCCCTCCCTCTGCTCATATCCGATTTCCAGCCCGTGGGGAACGAGTCGACTGGATTTCTCCGGGGTGGCTTAACTTTTACCAATATCCCTTTGAAAAGCTTGGAGTTCGTTTCCCTTTCTCTGAACTTGTAAGTGGTTTCATCATTCGTGCTCAGCTTTTCTCCTGTCAAATTATGCCTCAGGCTTGGCGACTTCTTCGCTCCTTAGAGTATTTGATTGAGAAACACAGTCTTCAATATTCTGCGGAAGATCTAAGCTATACATACGATTTAAGAACTTCCGGAAAGGGACGGTTTACCCTTGTGACGAAAGCAGGAGCGAATCCCATTATTTTGGGGATTAGTGGTGCCAATGATCGAGGCTGGATCTCCAAGTTCTTTTTTGTAAAGAAGTCTTCTTTAGGTGAACACATGAACTCCTTCCCAGACCGCTTGAGAGTCGTTGGTAAACCTTGTATGTTTTCTCATTTATTCTTTCCTTTTTTTAGCCGCTTTTGAGTGTGTCTTTATGTTCATCATGTTTTCTTAGTGAACGAAGCGAAAACGAAGGAAAAAGAGGCAAATGTGGGAGAGAAAGAAGCGAACTCTGGAGTTTGGTCCCCACTCTGAAGAAAGGACTATCGCATTCCTGGCTCTATCCCCTGAAATTCGTCTATATGCAAATCTTAAAAAAGAATTTAGAGGTATCGTTGTTTATTCTCCTTCTGTGAATCCAATTCGTGTTGGGTTAAGGCGTTCTGCTTGGAACATGTCTAATTCCCCTGGTTCACGTCAAGATGTCTCAGTTGATAACACTGATAATGGTGAAGATGATACTGCAAGTGTTACTGATGATGTTTCCATTATGCCTGCTGCAACCGAATGTGCCCCAGTGATGCGTAATGCCCCCCATATCACCTCTCTGAAGCCTTCTGCTAGTAAGTACCTAACTGAGTTATCCCTACCTATAGCTTTATAGGTGTGCATGATGTCTTAATATTTTCAATTGTTTAGGTGCCTCATCCTCATCAGGAGTCCGCAAGGCTCTGGATCCTGCTGAACTCTTGAACCTGAAATCCAAGAAGAAAAAGATGACGCCTCTGCTTCCTCCGGCGGTCAACCCTATTGCAACCACGACCTGCTCGCTTCTTCCCACTACGCCATGTACAAGTGTTGATGTGGAAAAGGCAACTATTAGAGCTAACCTCTCCGCCAATTTTTGTCGACTGGATAATGCCCTGAAAATGAAGAATGAAATGACTCAGATGTTGCTTCCTTCTGCAATTGATGCCTTCGCTGGTTTCGATGACGTCAAAGTTTTGACAGCTTCATCTGCGTTTGCCTTTCAGGTTTGTTTAATGAAAATGATAATTATTTTGCCATAAGATCCATTTCCCACGGCCGAAATATTTTGTCTCATTCCTGAAATATTTATCATTTTGCACAAGTAAATTAACAAAAAGGCAAATGAACAAGACATGGGCGAGGTATGTGACAACAATTTGCTCATTCCTCATTTCAATATTATCTTAATTTACTCGCTCACTTTGACAAATAAAAAGGGCACCTCATTTCTTTTGAAACATTAAGTAAAAATAACATCTACTTTGTTAACAACTTCACAATCACTTTAAAGATGTTTAAAACCATATTTTTTTTACATATTTATCAATTCACGATTACTGACTTTAGCATCGGAGGGCCGTTGGCTTAAAGCCAACAACCAGATTGCTACGGTATGAACAGGCACAAGATTTTGACAACATGTACATGTCAACTCCACTGATAGCTGACAACATCAATCAGCTCTTCTAAAGTTGCTAACACACTCCTTGATCACATCAACAAGGGATAACAAGGATTGCATAGGCTCGCCGTATGGAGAATACGAAAATCAAACCTATGCACCTTGTATGTTTTGGCCAAAACAATAGACATATCGTACATCACAAACGCTGACAACATCAAAGTCAGGCGTACCCAAGGCACCAGATTGAACGTGAAATACAAACGACGACATTAGATAGTCATCGAAACCAGTGAAGGCATCAATTGCAGAAGGAAGCAACATCTGAGTCATTTCATTCTTCATTTCCAGGGCATTATCCGGTCGACAAAAATTGGCGGAGAGGTCAGCTCTAATAGTTGCCTTTTTCAAATCAACACTTGTACATGGCGTAGTTGGAGGAAGCGAGCAAGTCGTGGTTGTAATAGGGTTGACCGCCAGAGGAAGCAGAGGCGTCATCTTTTTCTTCTTGGATTTCAGGTTCAAGAGTTCAGCACGATCCAGAGCCTTGCGGACTCCTGATGAGGATGAGGCACCTAGACAATTGAAAAATATTAAGACATCATGCACACCAATAAAGCTATGGGTAGGGATAACTCAGTTAGGTACTTACCAGCAGAAGGCTTCAGAGAGGTGATATGGGGGGCATTACACATCACTGAGGCACATTCGTTGCAGCAGGCATAATGGAAACATCATCAGTAACACTTGCAGTAGCATCTTCACCATTACCAGTGCTATCAACTGACACAACTGAGACATCTTGACATGAACCAGGGGACTTAGACATGTTCCGGGCAGAACGCCTTAACCCAACACGAATTGGATTCACAGAAGGAGAATAAACAACGATACCTCTAAATTCTTTTTTAAGATTTGCATAAAGACGAATTTCAGGGGATAGAGCCAGGAATGTGATAGTCCTTTCTTTAGAATGGGGACCAAACTCCATAGGCATCGTCTTCGCTTCTTTCTCTCCCACATTTGCCTCTTTTTCCTTCGTTTTCGCTTCGTTCACTAAGAAAACATGATGAACAATGAAGAACATAAAGACACACTCAAAAGCAGCTAAAAAAAGGAAAGAATAAATCAGAAAACATACAGGGTTTACCAACGACTCTCAAGCGGTCTGGGAATGAGTTCATGTGTTCACCTAAAGAAGACTTCTCGACAAAAAAGAACTTGGAGATCCAGCCTTGATCATTGGCACCACTAATCCCCAAAATAATGGGATCCGCTCCTGCTTTCGTCACAAGGGTAAATTGTCCCTTTCTGGAAGTTCTTAAATCGTATGTATAGCTTAGATCTTCCGCATAATATTGAAGACCGTGTTTCTCAATCAAATACTCTAAGGAGCGATGAAGTCGCCAAGCCTGAGGCATAATTTGACAGGGGGGAAGCTGAGCACGAATGATGAAACCACTTACAAGTTCAGAGAAAGGGAAACGAACTCCAAGCTTTTCAAAGGGATATTGGTAAAAGTTAAGCCACCCCGGAGAAATCCAGTCGACTCGTTCCCCACGGGATGGAAATCGAATATGAGCAGAGGGAGGGAACCCGTATAAAGACTTAATCTCCTCCAAGTCCTTTGTCCGCAAATCGGCCGCCCTAAGGTTTTTCATCTCGAAGACACCTTGGCTCTTGAAGACGGCATGTTCCATGGAAGAGAGAAATTTGGGAAATTTCAGATGTTGAAGGACGAGATTCGAGGGTTGAGAAGACATCGGGAAGAGTGGAGCAAGTCGAACGACGGAAGAGTTTAAATTCGTAATGACGACTATGTTTACCCGCGAACTAATCGTCACCATCACGAATGGGGGCAACTGTTGGGCCTTAAATAATTCTCTTTTGACTAGCCCGACAAAAGAGTACAACTCGCAGGAGGTATGCCCAGCCCATAAGCTAACCAAGTGCGGTCCATCTAATCAAGGGATATTTTAAATTAATGATAGGACCGAAGAAGGAGTCCACGCAGAACTGAAAGTAAGAGGACGGCGCGTAAAGATAGCACTCGGTTCCTAAACATGGGGAAAGGGTAGCTTTTTGCTGCATAAATACATTAGATTATTCCTATTGTAGAACATATGGTGAGCATTCGATTACCAAGATACTAGAAATATATTCTGTAAAACAAAAGCATACTACGAAGATCTTTCTTCTTCATCAACACATATTAATTTACTTCCTTTGTTAATTATTCCATAATTGATTCGGTATTGCTTGATTCCCTATTCAAATATTCATTTAGACTAGATTATTTCTTGTTTAAACATGACCATGGTGCTAAAATATTTTTTTATATAAAGTTTGGGGTGTTTAAATTACATATGAAAGTTTGGGGTGTTTATCTCACACACCTTCAAAGTTTGAAGTATTTTAATTATTTTTCCCTCTTTAAAATGTAGATCTATATAATATAGTTATCTCATAATTAAGGACACTCAGCATAGCTTTGCGCTACCAAACGGGCTCATAGTCTAATATCATACCTTTAAGACATCTGATTCTTTATCCCCCATTGCTATAGCTATTCCAACTCTGCAGAAAGGAGAAATCGGCAGGATGAGAAACTATGCACTTGAAGTGCACGATACTTTATTTGATTATCTCAATGGGTTCCATGGTAAAAAAAAAGGTATTTAAAAATTAACAAATTTAAGCATTCAAGTGTAATCCGAGCAACCATTACCTTTTGAATCATCACTCAGAAGAAGTTTAATTAACAGCAACCGAGAGGTGTTACTTCTGAATCCCATTCCTGCATCTTTTTATCGCGTTCATTCTAGTTCTCAAGCAAATCGTAACACACCAAAATAACAATAACAATAATAATAATAATATAAATTTTCTGATTGTTATGCTACTGGAAATTCTACAAAGATTGCGAAGGAAGATCTCTCTGCCTCTCGTACATACTGTACGGTGCCATTCATAATTCGAACAAGTTTCTGGCTTATATACAAACCAAGACCCTCCCTCGACATGCTTTCACTTTTCTTGAACATTTCCTGGATTAGCTCTTCTGGAACACCTGGGGCTGGATGTGTCATCCTGGAGACATACAAAACAAACAATCCAGGTTAATTTCAGGAAACCAAACAAGCTACCATGTTACAAAGTAATCATTTATAGAAATGTGACATGACACACATAACAAGGACGCCCTTTTTGCATTTTGTGAGCTACGTCAGTTTTTTAAACAGAGAGAGGCTTAAAGAAAGGAACGTAAAGTATAGGGACAAAAAAAACCAAAAAAACACTGTATTACCAGGAATGATGAACATATTTAAGTTTTAAGTAGTATTATTACCGAAACTCGAGATGCACTAGATGCATTTTGGTCCCTAAAGGCTTCCTGGTAGGAATAATTCTAAACAAGACAGATGAATCTTCGAAATGGGGTGTGAAGAGTAGAGTGGCCATCAAGAAGTCAGAGAGCACTTGTTGAATCCTCAAATTGTCTCCAAACAGGAACAAGGAAGATGCTTCAATGGGAAAATCACACATGACCTCCACCTGCCACTCCCTGCTTGGAATCATAGCTTGATTTACCACCGCTTTCATAGCCTCACCAAGATTGAACTTGCAACAGTTCATTTCCATATAGCTGAAATATTTTCAAAAGAGTAGACACACAGAGAGTAAATAATCTTGTTTAGTTTGCAGAGAGATCTTGCTTTCAGCAATGATCATATGAGAGAATGAGACTTCCATTTCCAAAGAAAGCGTAAATAATCTTATTTAGTTTGCATATCACTTTTTCTTATTTTGGTCAAGTTAGACCAGATTAGATGTAAATATAATTCAGACAGTAAAATTAGACAGGGCATGAAACTACAATCCAATCAGACCAAACCAGACTAACCAATCCAAGATCTGATCTTAATATTTTCATATCAAGTCACATTTGTTCAAAGCATCTTGAAGAGTTTGTCCCACACCAGCTAAATATGAAATAACAAACCAACTTGCATCTAGAATATTAAGACTTCGGTGTAGGACAAACTCTTGAACAACAAACATAGTAAAACAACAAACATAGCATAACAACAATAACAATGGTGGAAGGCACATTGTTATCATTACCATTCCTCAATACTTTCAATATTGGTATCATCAATGATCTTGTCCAGTTGTTCTTGGCACGCCATACTAGTCTTCAGAAGCAGAGATTGATCCTTGCTTAGGTCAGAAGATCTCATCATATTCTGAATGAATTTTATACCATTTAATGGATTTCTAATTTCATGACGAAGATATGCCAACTTTTTTAGGCCATCTGCAGCTGCTTGCTCACACAATTTTTGCACATGAATTGCATGCTGTAGTTCTGGGCTGGGAACGTGTAAAAAACAAAGGACCCCACTAATCCTCCCTGCCACATCAACTCTTCTATTAGCTGATATTAAAGCTTCGATGTATTTATTTTTCTCATCAAAAAACCCAAATATCAATTCCTGTAAATCCTGTCCAGAAATTACTCCGTTCAGCAATATCATGAGTTTTGTCAACATGTCGTTATCTTTGACTCTACAACCGAAGCTGCTCACTGTGAAGACTTCACCAAGAATCATTTGACCGATGGCCTCTTCTCTTTTCAATCCAGTCAATTTCTGCATTGCGTCGTTCCATTCCAAGCATCTGCCATACTCGTCCATTAAAAAGATTGGAGGGATTAATGGAGAAGGGCTATGTAATATCCGAACATAATCACCTTGTATAAGGTTATATTTGTCCATAATCAGCTTCTCTCCAGTTACATCTTGTCCTACAAAACACACTCCGATAATATTTCCTTTTCTGTCCCGGCTCGAACAGGCATTCGCTACCAGAGTGACAGGATCATCGTTTTCTAGCGAATCAAACTTTTTTAGTCTGATTTCAACATTTTTCTCCTCTTTGCCTAACATTCAATGTAATAATTATATATCAGTATAGGGAAGAATCATATACTTCTTCCGTCTCCAAATCCCAAAAAAGGCTTCTAACTTTTACCAAAACTAATATTTAAAAGAGTCCCTAATAGATAAGCATGTTAAATTTAGTTAAAGCAAAACAATATAGCTAGAATTGATTTTCTACAGTAGTATAACAAAATTTAATCCAAATGTCAAGAGTACGAAGATAAGATATAATGACCTTGCAAAGCAAGTGAGAGAGCATTTGAAACGGTGCCAACAGCCTCTTTGAGAACCAGATCAACTAAGGGCACACCTATAGCCTGTCCTACAACCAATCCGGTAAGCTCGGCCACTTTGACATTCCACCCGTTGACACAACCGAAAGCATCAACAGCCAAAATGGGTATAGATGCAGTCTCAATAAGACGGACCATTTCATGTGTCACGAAATGAAGCTCATGGACCCTCTGTATACTGGTAAGGTCAACAGCAGCAGGAGATACACTCACAATCATCTTAGAACCATCTTCTTGCAATGACCCTCTTAATATTAGCTGCAAGGAATGAATCGCATCCATTTCCATATCTTCCCATGGTAGACTCCTCTTAACCACCTCCAGGAAAGCCTTGAAGGAAGATCTTGGATGCATTTTACTCTCGTCATCCATATCTGTGGGGTTGTTTTTGGCACCACCCCACTTGATTGCTTTTGCCGTGTGAGATCTAAACCAAAAGAGAAAATCTTTGGAAGATATTTTAACGGCAGCCATTCCACAGACTGAATCACTGAGAGTAGAGGCATTGTTATAGCCAGCTTCCACAAGGCTATCGGTGCTTAACCCCGTACTATCTCTATGAGAGTCGAGTAGCCAGTTGGCTATGTCACAAATTTCGGGCTCGGTCGGGGTGGACCCAAGCAACCAAACTTTGCCCTTGTAGTAAAGAGCCGCCCCGTCACATCTCACAAGATCCATAATATTAGGAGACTTGGTGACAATCCCAACGGGGGAATCTCTGAGTAGCATGTCACAAAGTACCGTTTGGATTCGCATAATATGTTTTTCCTGACGGCGCGCCACCACCTCCACTTCCTTGTTGATCTGAGAACTGAAAACCTGGACCAAAAACTCGCACGCGTACCTCAATGGGAATGGGACAAACCGTGGGGTTGAGTGATGGCAAACCACCAATCCCCAAAGTTTTCTTCCCTTTTCTTGATCTTCAAAACCTGGCTCGTCACTGTCCTCATCGATCGTCACGGACATTGCTAAAGATGCAACAGACCCCATGTTGGCCATGTATTGTGCATGGCAAGCATGTGGAGCCCTTAACGTGGACCCACACAAGCTTAACGGTTCAGCCAACTTCTTGTCTTGGATCACTTTAACTGATGGAGCTAAGCAATCACATATCATTCTGACCTTGTTTTTCATGAAAAGAACTCTCGAAGCTTGCGGTATATCAGTGGACGGGTAATGCAACCCAAGATAAGGTTCAAGGTCTGGTTTGCTGCAGCATTCTGAGACAACTTCCCCATGTCCGTCCTCATGGAATTTATAAACCATGACCCGATCATAACCTGTTAAATCCGTCATTTCCCTAACAAGAACATCACACAGCAGTTGTATATCCCCACTTGGAAACGATTGCAACCTGGAAATGGCTTTGGATGCTAATTTATATGATTCCAATGCTCCAATAGCCGTCATGGGGAGATCTTTGGGATCCACAGGCTCCAAATCTATAACTATGCCAACATCGACTCGATGTAGGATTGCATAGAAGGGCTTCCCGGAATTTCTCGAGTAGACCAGAACCGGATTGGTCAAACCGACTTCCTCAAAGCTTGCCGCCTTTTGAAGTGCAGCAGACCCTGCTGAAAGAAATAGAGTCCTAATGTCAGTGCCAATGGTCAGACACTCCTGCTGTTCAATGCTTGGAACAGTACATGGTGCCAAATCAAGCAATTCTGGAGTATTTTCGCTATACCCTATAATAGCAAGGTTCTTATCATCAATGGCTACTAAGCAGCCAAATGGTTGTATGAGACCTCCTCTTTGAATTTTCTGGAGATAAGCAGAGACCGTTGAGGTAGGGATATCGGTAGTATTTGATAAACTGATTGAAGTTGTATAATCGAATTTTTCCTCAGACTCCTCAAAGTCGACATGGAGCTTAGCATCAATTGGTGTCTGAGAAACAACAAGAGCATCATGTCTCGAACGAGCAGAACTTGTCCTGTTTGTGCCTGATCTTGATGAAGACATTTCCCTCTTGATTTCTCAAACTTCTGTTTGTTTCAATCCAATAGATTCCTCAGCCCATATGATGCAAACCAATACCAAGACATAATAAGATCTTAATCAAATGAGTTCCACCAAATTCACTGTAACTCCAAGAAAAAAGGAGGAAAAGGCAACCATCCAGTCATCCTATTCAACAGCACACTATACTTAAGCTTTTTTTTATCAATTAGAGCATCTGACGTTCTGGACAAGAAGATAATGGTTGGGAAGCAGAAAAAAATGAGATGCCCTCGTTAATATTTAGATAGTCCAAAGAAAAGTATAACCCTTTCTGAACCAAGAACCAATAATGCTGGCAAATTCTTCAACTTTTACTCAATAGCGCCCAAAGCAGGTCGGTGAAAATGGATCCCCCAATACAATAATTGATAATTCAATCGGGTCTGGGTAAACTTTCTCCAGAAAACACTACAACCCTATTAAAACCACCCAGAAAGGAGAACTCGTATAACCTGTAAGGATATAACAGCGAAGAAATTTATAAATACTACTGCACTAGAACTATTGGTGGATTGTATGAACTGAGTAATACCAGCTAATGAAAGAGAGAAGTAATTGGAGATATAATATCTCAATCAACTGTGTTGACCTCAGAGCTCGATCTTCATGCGAATGAAGTTACCAGAATTCTTGAAGCCTTTCCATGGAGTTTGGCGCCTACCAGGCGTACCATCAACGCTGCACTGGGATCGACTGCGTTTCTTCTACTCCGTATTACGGAGTATTTAGTTTTGTTTATGTTGGTAAATGGATTTTGTTAAGTAAGAAAAAGGATTTTGTTTCGTTATGTTGGATTTTGTTATGTGAAAAGGGATTTTGTTTATGTTGGTTATGTCGGATAAAACTAGTATTCTACCCGTGTGATGTATAGGAGAATAACTTTGTAAATTGAGGATAAATCTATCAATATAAACCTTTTTTTTATATAAACACACATTGTTGTCAAGTACTCAAGACCTCAAGTACATTGTATGAGTAAAATGATTTACACTTTTTATGGACTTAAGGTTCTTAGGGTCTCTAAAAAAAGGTTCTTAGGGACTGAGTAGTGACTCATGATAATATTCTAGTCATAGTGTTCTTAGGGACTGAGTAGTGACTCATGATAATATTCTTACGCTTTCTGTGGCCTTAAATTTCTTAGTCATAGTGTTCCATCTTAATATTACAAATATTTTTATATACTTAGTCCATATGAATATACAGATATTCTTCTATCAAAACCTCTAGATAGTATTTGAGAATGAGAATTTCATTCGTGTTGTAGGTAGAAGCTCTTTTACCACATTTCTTGATGTCTAATAAGGAATCTAAGTGACAACTTCAGATGAAGATACAATAATATCGCACCTAAAACAAAAAAACGTGTAATTAACCACACATGACATAGTACGTTTAAAAGAGAAAATGTTGTGATTCAAAATAATTTGCAACATTGTATATGATGTTTTAAATAAGGAAAAATGTGCAAATATACCCCTGAAGTATATGTGGACCTGTAAATATATCCCTGAACATATAAAGGGGGAAAAGTACCCCAAATATTCCTATAAATGAGTAAATTTACCCTTGTTAACTTTAAATAAATAACATAAATTTTCAAATTAACAAAAATATAAATGATTGGGAGTTAGAGTACATTTAGTACAGAATAAATTAGTACTTTAATTTTCTTGATCGCACAGTTCCATTTTATGCACTTAATTAAGATGTGGATTTTTAATTATATTATAATTTGGAGTTTACAACTTTGAAAAGATTTTAATGTAGTTTCTGAATATGTAAATTTTATTTATTAAAAATTTAATCATCAATATGGAAGATTTAACTTTAACATTAATTGGCCAAAAAATGTTGACTTTACAAATCAAATTGGGATAGTGAGAGTAACTTTTTATGATCTCTCATGGGAAACCAAAGTTGGCCAAACAATTGAAGTTCTATCTTCCTCACGAGTATTGGTTTAAGATTTCTCAGAAAATTACCTAGAGCCCATTTGGTGACTTTGTTTTTCGGCTTATCAGACCTATCAGCAAACTTTTTAACCAAACACGTAACTTTTGATATCACGCGCTGAATTGTATAATAATAAGAAAAAATAAGGTTGATGTTACTTTTCTTACTGTATTGGCTGAAGTTACTGTAGATAACCATTTTAATTATTTTTAGTATACTTTTTTCTTTATTTTACTAATAACTATATTTTAAATATACTTTTTTGATAAATCAGCAGAATCAGCCAATACATTCACTTCAGCCATAATTTTATAAATTTCAGCATAATCAGCCGATTTAGCTGATTTTAGTATTACCAAACGGGCTCGCAGTCAGTATGATGTAAATTTTGAATACACTTATAGTAATTAAAAGGAATTAATCGTAAAATAATATCAGTTTTTGGTGTTAGTATGATCACATTAGAGGCTTTTTCGTTCTAATATAGCATACGTAATATTGAATGAGAAAATATCACACATAAGTTAAAATAAAACTATACTTTGAAATGGAAATTTCAACCTTGAAGGTAACTTTTAAATAATTAAAACTATTTCAAAAAGATGAAACGTACACTATTAATAAGTTATTGGGAGTTATAGTACATTTAGTACAGAATAAATTATAAGCGGCAATATATTACATTAATTATAATTGTGGCTTAACTTTCTAAATACTACGTATATATGAACATTAATTAATAATCCAGATATGAAACGTATGTAACATATATAATATACCTATCTTTCCAAATATATGAAGGATAAACGTAGTAATTAATACGGAGTATAAGAATGTGTGTATATGAAAGTGACATGTGGCTATGAGTAGCTAAAAGAGTGACACATGGCAAGAGTGCATAATAGAATGACACGTGTTAATGAGACTTCCAATTGTATAATATATATACAGGGGCGGACTGTAGTACAGACCCAGAGGGTTACCGCCCCTCCAACAAAATTTATTTTTAGTGTGTATATATAACAGACACTTTGTTACTCAATGTCCCTACTTTTACTAATGAGGCTGATGTGATTGTGCGGAAAAGCTCCCCAAGTGGGAACTTTAAATTCAAATTAGCCTATGATGACATTCGGGCTAAACGCCCCAAAAATAAAGGCCTGGATATCATTTGGCATAAGCCGATTCCAAAAAAAATATCTTTTTTCCTTTGGCGGATTTTAAATGGGTTAGTTATCAGTTCTGATACATTAACTAAATTTGGTTTTCATGGCCCCTTTAAATGTCCTAGCTGCAACCACCCCGATACTATTAGTCATTTCTTGGAATGTGGCCACAATAGCCCAATCTGGTCCCATTTTAATATTAATATCGGTGGCTCGGATGGCAATTTTAAGGACTGTATCATTAGTTGGACCAAAAAGGATAACTTTCTCAACTATGCTATAATTCTTTGGAACCTTTGGAAAATGAGGAATGCCAATTTAATCCAAGACAAAATCATTTCGCATTCTGAGGCTATTTTAGCAATTAAAAGAGATATCCTTGCTTACTCCCACAATCACAAGCCCACCAAAGACCTCAGCCTTGTTAGACCCAACACTATTAAATGGAAGCCTCCGGTCGAGAATAGAATCACCATTAATTTGGCTACTACCCAAACTGGTCTTTCTCATAGTACGGCCTTCCTTGTTAGGAATCATAAGGGCGATCTTATTGGTCATGATTGCCATAGGACAATGGCTAAATCTCCCCAACATGCTATCATTACTTGCATCCTTTATGCCTTAATATTTTGCAGTGATAATCGGTGGGTGATTGATTCCATTCAAATTGATGACAAGAAGGCCGGTCGAGCAATTAAGACGCACTGTGTTGGTTATTGGGATGATATCTACACTATTACTCGCATTAGGAGGATCTTGAATCGGCAATCCATTCCCCTCGAGGTCATTAACAAAGCAGTCAACCGGGCAGCTCAGTATATCAGTAAAGGAAACAACTCACAAACTACTCATTTCACGAATATCTTGAAATTTGATGCTATTGGATTCCCTTATGTAATTCTATAACTCTGGGAGTAGGCATTGGTTTGGTCCTCCTACTTTCTGTAACTTCCTTTTTATTTAATAAATTACTTTTGTGTAAAAAAAAATATATAAGAAAAATAATTTTCGCCCCCTCAAAAAATAATTTTCGCCCTCAAAAAATATTTTAAACCCCCCAACATGAATTTCCTGGATCCGCCCCTGTATATATAGATTGGTAAAAGCCTTACTCGTATCTCTCATATATATATCTGTTAAATATAAAAAGGACATGTTACTATATATAAAAGTGCAGTTGTTTTGCAATAAGAATTTGACTTGCACGGTTGGTCCACTATGCATTATGCAACAAAGTATCCTCATTTAAATACGTATTCACATTTCCTGCGCCCAATTTGTTTTTTTTCCTCAAATTCATCTCGTTTTTAGAAGTGCATAATAACTTGGAATAGACCAACCCTACAATTTGTCTTAAGTAGAGGGCTTATTATTTATTTTTTGATAGATCAGATGAGAGTCATTTTAGAAGAGAAATAAGAAGGATGTTACACCTTTAGATATCGATCAATTAATCTACTTTCTCAATTTATTTTTCTAACATATAGGGCTAGCTTATTTGTGATTTCCCAATCCCTTCCATTTTCTACGTAACCCCACTTAAGGTATTCCATACTTTTATTATTTACAATATTCCTTACTTTGCAAATTGTCTAGTTAGTAACTTTTTCACTATTTGAACCTTTTGATTTTTACGTTCTCTATGTATTACTCCGTAATACTCCGTACTTTTCAAAACTTTTGCTTTAACTGTAACCGTAAAACTTTTAGTTTTACAAACAATGGTTTTGCATGATCAAACCTTGCTTCCCCTAAAAATCTGACCATTTTGTTTTTGAATCTTTACTTTTTTATTCAACACACACATTAAAAAATGTTTCATACACTACATTTTTATTACACAATATTAAATAAAAGTATTATTGAACTAGACAATAAGAATAGTGTAGAAGTATATCATAGACATATAGACATACGATTAGCATGACAAATTAGTTGTGCACACAATTTTTCTGGCACTTATTATACCAATCTGTTGCACACGAGTATGATATTTTGGACATACGTATACAATGCACAATAGCTTAACTAAATGTGCATCCAAGTGCATAATTCAATTTTTAGACTTAAGTTACTATGACACGACATTGTAGTAACTAAAAATCGTATTTGTGTAAATAAGTTTTATTTTAGTAATATTTTTGAAAAATTATCTCCTAATAAAAGTGCATAATAGCGTTTTTCTTGAGAATTGATCGAAGTGCATACTTAAGTAAAAAAGCATCGACTTAAGTATTAAAATGTACTTAAAACCAAACATTAATAAACTGAATTAACTTTTAACGTGAACAAATACAATTTTAGTTACATAACAAAGCTTTTAATGTGAACTAACATAATAGTTTGTCTTTTTAGGAAGGCATTCAATGAATTTATGGAAGATATCAATTTAACGTTAGAAAAAGCAATAAAAGCTCAGCTTTAAAGGTGATTTCTCTAACAACCCGATTCATGTGTTGATTGCATTTTACTCTCTTACCCTTAATATTAATTAATTACGTAGCTTTATGATTATGGTAGCCCTCCAAAGTTTCACATAATTACTAAAATACTACCTGCCAATCTGTCATTTACACTCAATCTTGACCATTGAATTTATATAAGGGCATCCACATCCATATATGGATTATTTTTGGGATCATTTTGATTATGTGGAGGATTTTTTTTGGATCGTGGATGAGGAGTTGAAATTATTTCATGAGATTATTTGATAAAATAATCTAGTATCAAATTCTAAAACTGGATTATTTTGAGATTATTTCCAATTTCTAGGCATATATTCATAATTATGGTGATGACTAGCTTTGTAGTTCGTGCATGCTCATGCTCCTATCCAAGGTATATTAAGATCATGAATGAGGAGAAATGTATTGATTTGGAGATTATTTGAGATTATCTTATGTGGAGGTGTGACATGACCATAATAAGCCATGAAAAATCGTAAAATTGAAGATCATCAATGTGGATGCTCTAAGGGTTATTTGAGTTTGCACCCTATTTTATTGCTCAAATTGTACTTTGCACTGCGTTTAAAAAAACTTTGTATTTGCACCCCAATCACGTATGAAAAGACAAAAATGCCCCTCCATTAACAATTCCGTTGGCCTTCAACATATTCCTGATCGAGGGGCATTTTTGTCTTCTCAAAAATACAAATGAATATGAAGAGAGAAAGGGATTTTGGGGGTGTTTAGATTTGATTCCTAAAACTACTTCTGTTCGTTTGGGTGAAAGTGCAGAGATACTTCGGGTGCTGTAAGTTACTCCTAGAAACAGTTTTTTTTAGAAGTTGGGGAAGATCAACTTCTGAAAACTGATTCTGATTCTGCTTCTAGTTTAAAAAAGAACCAGAAGACAAATGAGTTCCAAACACCCCTTCATATAGTGATCACAAATTAAACTATATTATTTCCATTGTTAGATAAATTATATTCGCCGCCTCTTATAATTAATAATATTCGAAGTAATTAGTAGGATGTTTTTACTTGGTTTGAAATTTTCTGGTCTGATATGGTCTGATCTGAACTGAGCTGGTCTTGTCTGGTAAATGTTTGGTCTCTGTGTATTTTATAACTATCGAAATTTGGTCTAGTCTGGTCTGATCTAGTGTCTGATCTCATATGATCTGGTTTGGTCTAGTCTGGGACTGAAAACAATCCAAGTAAAAACATTCTAACGCTTCATGCTTAGCTTCATTTTTTTGGAAGGAGGGGGCTTAGATTGATATAACAACATTCAGATGGGGTTTGAAATAACAAAAGAACCACATGTAACCGTTTGCCCTTGAACCAGATTCATAGTTAATCACCTTTGACAAAGCAATATAACCCGTTGATCCTAACCTGGGCATAATTGAGCCAACGACGATTACCGCAGACCTCTCATCACTCACTCCTAATGCAAGAGTCTTACATCATAAAAATAATAAAAACAAAAAACAACACTCTTAGCGTGGAAATTAAAATGTAAAAACGCAAAAAAATAAACACCACAACTAGTCCTCTTTAGCAGAGGATCACCAATTGCACCACCGACGGGTCTAGAAGTCCTGACCCACCGCCTCCCCATTTTTTTTATTTGTCTAGTGACATGCTCTCGCCAGCCGGGACCTCTTTTGATTGTTCTTCCCAAATCCTTCTACGTTTTGGATCCCCTGGAACCTCCTCGGTGCCGCCTATGTCACCCTTCTTGGTCACACTGTTGCTTGTATCTGGTGAGGACTCACGCCGACCATGTTCCTCTATTCCATTTTCACCCTCTAGACCTATTCTTCGTTGTAGTTTGGTATCCCTTGAGCTTAAATAATTATCCACTAACCACTTACTAGTCCCTGTATGACTTGTCTTTCCCCCTCCACCAGCCCAGAGTTCAACCCCAAAAGTTTTTTCCAACACAATACCTTCCTCATATTTCAAGAGGCGGAATTTATCAGAATGCCCAACCACACCACAAATGAAACAAAAATTAGGTAATTTTTCATATTTAAAATCTACCCAATGTCCAATGCCCTCTTTCTTTAAAGTAGTTCCCTTTTTCAGAGGCTTCCCCACATTCATACACACCTTTATTCGCATATAAGACTACCACTTTTTATCAAACTGGTTCTTAACAAAACTAATAAATGTGCCAATAAAGTTTCCAATTCTCCAAGCAGTGCCTAGGTTCATGAATTTATATGGAACATTGTGGACCTGAACCCAGAACTCAGCCTCACACAAGTGCATCTTGTGGGGTATGTCATCTGGCTGAACTACCTTTAGGAGTAATAAATTTCTCTCAAACAACCAAGGGTCATCCTTAAGCATACGATTCATATCCACAATATGACAGAAAGTAAAAAGGTACCTTTTATCTCCAATTTCTTTGATAGATACACCCATACCCGAGCGCCAGATTGAAGCCAAAAGATCTTTCAAAACTTGAAACTTTATATTTCGGTCCGTAAGCACAACTCTAACCACTGGGTATTCACCTCCTCGTTCGCTTTCATCAAACTCCTTGGTCTCCTCCTCGTCGAAATTTAGCTCGTTGTCCTCCTCCCCAATAGCCATCTTCTTATAATTGTTCACCATATCATCCATCGAAAATCCCTCAGGACCGTCCCTAACCACTGCCCTTACCGTTCGACTTATTTATTTAATACTTATTCGGTTCTCTTTTTTAAAAGCAACGGTCCACTTTTTATGTTCGTCAATGCACACGTTTGACCAACAATATCTTTCATTTTATTATTAATAAAAAAATAAAATTATCATATTTTGAAAATTTAAAATGATAGGAATTTCACAATTATTTTCAATAAATTAATTTATTGAAAATAAAAGGGGGAAAATGCTATATAGCCTAAAAAATAGGCCACTTGAAGTTAATAGCCTCTATTGTATTTATTAAAATACATACACTTTTTTCTAGTTAATATACAACCCATAAAATTTTAACCACCGTATGTAACTTCCATTGCAATGATTTAGTTGTACGTTCCACATCATGAAATTGGATGTGAACTACAAACGCATAACTGCTTGCTTCATAGGGGCATCATCTGTTATGATACTGGGAGAAAATTGCGCACTAAGAGTAATAGTTAACTGGTTTTAATAGACAAAGTGCATTGGTGGAACTTGATAAAAGTTATCTACTTAATTTTTGTTAATCCACAATATTAACTTAAACGCACATATTAAACTATGCACATACACCCAATTTTCTCTAAATAAACAGAGTCAAAGTAAAATACATATATAATGCAAAAAGTTCAATGTTGCATTTCAAAGAGAATGGATTCAAAGAGAATGGAAATGATATATAGGCTTTTGCATAATACATAGGCTTTGTTTGCAACCACTTGTGCTTAAATAAAAGCACTTTTTGGGAAAAAGTGATTAGTAGTAAAAGTTGGTAGTGTTTGGTAAAATAAGTGCTTTTTGTGTAATAGAAAAAGTAAAAAGTAGATTCTACACGAAAACCGAGATAGTAAAAGTTGGTAGTGTTTGGTAAAATAAGTGTTTTTTTCTTAAAAAAAAGC